TTAACTGGGTTACTAAGGGGATAGCGTGTTGAAAGTAAAATACTATATTTTTAATGTAATAGAGGCAACGCCTATATTTATTACTGGCTGTGTTAGCGACTTCGTCCGCGTTAGTTATTTCGGACCTTCTCCTCAATTTTATAAAATGGAGATTAGCCACACGTAAGTCGCGTCCCATCGTTCTTGCAAGTTAACCTTGAAAGAAAGACATATATAGTGTCGCATGCATTTTTTAGATCATTTAACGAAGAATCATTCCCTCATATTTTTTTGGATATCTTGAACCGTTTTCACAGCGTACGCAACGGAAACCCACCCACAAGGGTGAATAATTTTCCCCTCTTTTTTCGACATTTCGCGCTGTTTCTTCGCTCTTATTAGTCACAGATCTATATTCGAACCAGTAGTTCGTGAGATTAGCGCGTTCAAACAAAGAAACAAACAAGCTCTTCAACTTTATATATTAGTATAGATTTGGAGATCCACAACTAAGTCCTAATAACATATAACGTGGATCAGTTTATGTAGTACATCAAATGTATTCTATTATCTCCATATTATCATACTGTAAATAAAATTAATATAATCCCGCTGCGACCATTCGTCCTTTCCTGTCCGTCTAGACAATTATCGCTAACAAACAGCTATTACATTAATTAAATATGTTTGTTATTGTTTGCTAATCACTTGTAACCCTATCACAACATATTGATGCTTAGTTGTGGCGCCATGGTATAAGCACGAAAAATTATATATCTATATAATAATATACCTAACTTCAATGTATTTATATGCATTTCGCGTCTCAATGACTTTCAAGTATACAGTACACCTTTATATAAAACATTTTAACGGTTTAAAACAAGTATATAAGTTAAAATTATTATATAAACTCTCATTACCTGAAACGTCGGGCCGTTGTTGAAATAATTGTTAAATAAGTTAAACTAATATATTTCAAGTTTTAAACCGTTCAAGTGTTAGTTAGTTAGTCAGTTTTATTTAAATGTGCTGTACTACTCACGTAAACTACAGACATTATTTAATATTGTTATAACATTGTGATGTGCAATTAAGGATCTCGTAAACTGCAGTATGTAAGATACCTACTTACTTTTGTGCGCGATAGGACTCAGGTTTGAATCCCTGGAAACGTTAAAGTTTCGTTCTATAAATCTATAACTGATAATAGTAGTTTAACTAAATGCATTAAACGCGAAGGGTCGTGTGATCGAATCCTGGGGCAAATATTAATTTAGTTGGGCATGTCACACAAGATTGAACTGCTTGTTTGTACATAAAGCTTGTTAAGTGATTCGGACACAGATATGTGTTGGCCCTATGCCTCACTGGAGGAAACGGGATTTAACACACCAAAAACTCTAACAGGTTACCAGCCCGTTCAAACAATTCTAAAACCTTTGCAATTGATCGATCTATTGCTAAAGGTCGCCTAACTAAACTACTTCGAACTAATTTCGTAACAAACGCCTGAAGCCTTTAACGTTACAACACTCCAAATCAATAGTTGATAATATCACCTGTCAATACGAACGTACGATAAACAAAAGCGGGCTTACTTTCCTTATCTAATCTTAATCGTCTATAGGAGGTCATAAGTTCTTTTATTTATGCTACTGTCATCTCTTCCGAATTTATGCCGATAGATGATAAGACGAAACTTTCCGCTAACACTATTCTTTATCTGTTTTGCCACAATATTGCGAATACAGACTGTTTGTTATAATTGGGTTCGATTTCTGTTCTCGGGTATTTTTTTTTAATACTTATTAAATTGACAAAGCTGTGTACATTAATAATTGGGTCCTACATAGATATTTTAATTTATTTTATAATAAATAAATAAAATACTATGGACAGTAGTACAATTCAGTTTTTTAATTACTTAAATTTTAGTGTTTGGGGGATTATTGATTCCCCCTTTTTAAAAACCAAACATTAAACTTTGCAGTGGTACACAAAAGAGATGTATATAATGTATACGTAAATTTAAGAGCAAACAATTCTACGTATTTTAATGCAATTTTTAAACAACAATGCAAATATTTACAAAATTCCTCAAAAAATGGGATATTTGTATGTGTCCATCTTTACTACAAAGTGTTACACCTTCCGCTTCTATGTATATGAATAATATATAATTTGCTGTTAAAAAACACTTTTCCCTATTTAAAACATGAAACATATAAGGCAGATATAAGATTTATTTACTACCAATTTGTTCAGAAGCATAAATGACATATTTTATTTCTTAATGTGTATTATTTATTCCCAGCCTGGGTTGGATTAGATATTTTAGTAGTAGTAAGTAGATTCTCCATGTGCATGATAAGTCATCAGGCACATTTGTCCTAATTATTTTTACAGGTATTTGTTTTTAAATCATGCCTAACTGCTTAAACCCCTAAGTATATGCTCTCAAACCATTCAAGTAGCAGGCAGGCAGCATAGCAGGGGCGTATTCATAGGGTAACAAAGGGTATTTTAATGTAATGATGTAATTAATGTCTTATCAACTAGGACTTGTAACTAATAATTGTATGGATGCCAATTTAGTTTTAATAAAATACAAGGAATCAACTTTTGAATTACTAATATGGGATTTGCAATATTAGTTTATGATGTTTCATTATTGATAAGTATAAAAATAGATATGTGCAAGCTATGAGCAATGGAAACAGCACTTGTATATTAAAGTGGGTGCAACGATATATTGTTTCTACTACTTTGTAACATTTATATTTTAAATATATATTCATATATAACTTAACAAGTGTAACTATAAGATACAATAGTTCAAGATCTGTTGAGGCATTGTCCCCACCCTGACAAGCCATCTAGTTGAAAAGAAAACTAGAGTGATGTTCTAGATAATGAAAGATGTAGGGAAAGAGAGACATGATAAAATAATCTGTAAAAATATGAACTATATTTTATAGGACCAACACACATTTTCATTTTACAGGATTAACGTCTTTTTAACAGAGGATCAAGGGGTTCAGTCGATGGAAGGCGAAGTACTCTGCTATATAAGTAGGTATTTTCGATTTGGATTTCTATTCAAAACTTATAAGGTTTTTTAAAGAAATTAACATTGGAATGAATTAACTAATTTTATTTATATGAAGTTGAAATATATAAACTGTATTTATGTTTATATATTTCAAAGATTTTAGAAGCAAACCCATTTTAGAATGGTTTAAAGTACAGTACTAACCAAAATAAGTCATGAGAATTTCTTAACACAGAAAACTAACAATTGGTAACAGTATATGTATCATAACTGTGTGATTGAGGTCACTCGCTTACTCCTTAAGAGTATAATCTAATCAAATCTCTCATGTGAATCATTATACAAAATAAAAAAAGGAATACCTAATTTTACATTTTAGTACTAATTTTATATATTAAATGTAGAATAGTAAAGTAGTAACAGTAGGAGTAACTTTTAATTGTTTCAAAACTTTGATCTCTGTACATTTTTTGGAAGGCTCTTTTGGATATCCTTTTAATGGAGCAAATGCATGTACAAGGGTATTTTTTATTTTATTATATTACAAGATTCATTATTCATAATACACACCACAAAAAATACAAGAGATGAAAACTTACATACTAACTTATAAATAAAAGGTGGCCATATCGCTTAGCTGCGATCCCTTCCAGGCAACCTGAAGGGTAATAGAATAAACAAAAAAATATATAGATAGAATAATATTTACCAGAAGTATTATAAACTTATCAAATATTAACTTAATCTACTTCTTATAAGACACTTAGTTAATGATCCGTATGGTACTCATATCATAATGTTTGAACACATTAACACTGACATGTGATTAGCCAAGTCGCAAAGTTATCTAACCAGACGGTGACAGATAATTTAATAATTATACAAAATGTTGTCCTGAACCAAGTGTACATAAAAAAAATATTCACAAATTTAAACACAAACTAATTCATGACAAATGGTAATTTGTAAAGAAAAAATCTAATTGGAGTGAAAATATTGGTTATTTTAATGAAAATTTTTAAATTAATTTGCTTCTGCAAAGCATCTATAATTTTTGAGTTTCAATTAAAAAATAGTTAAGAAATATTGAACTTTTGATCATATTTCAAAGCAATAATAGTGTTTGATTTAATTGAGTACTTGGGTAATAAGGGACAATACTTTAAACCAATACTTATTTTTTATGAGTAAATAAAAAATATATTTGTATTTGAAAAGAGTAAATGTACAAATCTCTCAAATCGCTATATAATTGTTTTACAAAAGACAATTAACTAACAGCAACAAATTTTAAAATGGAAAACAGTATGATTTGTCACTTGATGGAAACACAAAATTTTGTAATATATAAAGACATATAACATTCAGAAGGTCACCAAATTAAGAAGAAAAACAAAACATCTAAAGAAATGGTAGGCAAAAATTAAGAAATTACTTAAATGACTAAGAAACAATGATTATGTCCTTAGGCAATTCCAGAAATTGAATATTTGACTATGTTGATTTGAAGGATCCTAAAGTAAACATACATTATTGCTTACATAGACAATAGGATAGTAATAAATTACATATTCACATATCTTCTTCATAATAATAGGCAGGTGTTCAAATAAAGCCCCTACTTAAAGTATACAAATGTGTTAGTGAGAAATTGAAAGCAATAAATTTTAGAGTTTATATGATAATCTTACCTATTCTGGCTATCATGATGCATATTTCGTTAATATTTGTTTTTTTTTTACAACGGCGCATGTTTGAGATAAGTGGATGACGGTATATAAATATGCAGGTAGGTTTATTTAATCGTAATTGAAAAAAATCTTCAAACCGCTGTAAACAATGGTTAAATTTTAAATGAGTAAAGATTGTGGAATTTAAATTGGGCCATTAATTCCAAATCACGTTTTCACAGCTGAGCGTACCAAACACCGCATATAAATAAACGAAAATACTATCTAATATTTACCTTCAGCGCTCTGGTTCAACGAAGGCGGAGCAACGGACGTCGACAGATTCTTCTTCTGGTCCCTTTTTGGTGGATCAGAGTCTGAATCGTCGAAAACCAGCGTCCTGACCGATTGAGAGCACCGACGATCCATTGCCTCTCACTACACAGTACACTGAACTAATATTTTCGCCATAAACGAAATTTTAGTTCATTTTCCATCATGACACTATAACATACAACTTGCATCGGTATCAGCGAAAAGAATCGCTCTAGTATTTAACAGATAGCACAAATTTTCTTAACACTTGTGCCATGTTAGAACGCGACTTATTAAACCACCTCCATTCACACAAATAAATAAAATTAAAATGATATTTTTTAAATTTAAAACTCTCTACAGATTATATTATGTTTAACATTCGTGCCTTGCTTGTATTGGTTATCTGTAATTCGTGTTGCCAGCAAATTTTCTATTTTTCGCATACAGAGGCATTTATTTTGTGTGAGACGAATAATTTTTATACTTATAAACATCTTAACTTAACTCTGAGATAAAATCATTTAACGACACTCTTTAGTTTTAAATATTTCTCAAAATGGTTTATGAGTAGGTAATAATATGAGTCCAGCAAAATTTCGGCGAAAAGTACCGTTGTGGCGACACTCGTGTATATTCTTTGTAACTGCAAGTTATCTATGTTTATATTATTCAATATGCCACAGAATCAAGAAACATCGTGAAAATGATAAAATTTGTTAGTATCATCTGTAGAGCACTCAAATAATGGACAAATTGTAATTTCTGCCATCTTTTGTTATCGTTGGAACATCTTAAAAATGTTGCCATTATACAATAATATATTTTTTAGTAGTCATTGCCATTATTTGATGTAAAAGTGTTAATTTTTACATCGAAACGTAAAAAATCTTATTTTGTTTTTTGAATAAACGTATTTTAACATTGTAATATTAAATAAAACTAGATTTTTATATCTCAAACACTGTTAATTTTCAATGACACGTTCAAATTGCAACGCCATCTAGTTTAATTTAACGTTCAAATATAAGTTTTACCCATCAAAAGAAACGGAAAAACACGAGTTTGCGTCGCCTTTAGTAGATATCAGCTGAATTATTCGGCTAAAATGCCCTGGCACGGGCATACGTAGTCGTCGGTCCGCCATTACGACGCAGCCGAGACACGTTCGTCGTATTTAGTTAAATATTTTCGTTTATAAATGAGTAATAACGCTCATGAGCTAAGTAATCGGCTTCTTAATGCGTTGGATAGCAATTACAATGTAAGTTTCCGAATTTTGAAGACAGATACATGCGATATGCAAGTCGGAGATATGGAAACGGTCTGCTCGGGCCTGTGACACCCGAATCGTTCGCAACTGAACCTCTTGAGAGGCTGTATACCAGTAGCCGAGTGCATAGCACAATCATTAAAGCTTATATCTAGCGAGATCTAGTACGCGTTATACGATGCTCAATCTGAGATTGTTATGTGTTTCAATACGTGAGCGTTGCGAGTGATGTACAGGGGCACTGACGTCGCCAGCTCTCCTCTCGTCCCTCCGTCCCTAGTGCCAAATGTTTTGCAATGTGAAAGTATGGAATTGTGCCACGCGTGTTTTTTCTCATAAATACTGGTCAGATCGGGTGTTCTGGGCCCGATGGATGTTCAAATGAATGAAAATAATTTATCGGTCACTATGACCTTACGAGATATCTACAGTTGTCGGTGTGCCCACTCGTATGTATCATATATCTTCGCGAGTATGGATTCTATACCTTTCTTAATTTATTATATATGCAAGCACAGGTCAGTCAAAATTTATACTTTTTAGCAAGTCAGCAGTGGCAGTTTGACTTAGCATGTGGTATAATAGGCAGGCAATTGAATTAAGGGTAATTCCCACCAATTTGTAGGTTATAGACTTACTACCAGCACTACAGCACTTTCTAACGTAAATTCCATTATTTATAACCCTATTTGAACTTAGTTTTTGCACACCATTGGTCATTCCATTTGTTCAATGACCCTGTCATTAATAATTCAACAGGAAGTACCTGAAGGGTCAATTTTAAGTATGCTTGAGTTTACTTTGTCCTTTGTGGGGTCATGTAGGGAAAAGGAAGGTTATGGTCAGTGGGTACCATGCCCGGATTCAACTGCCCATGTGATTATTGCATGTGGTTAATATTCTATATTTTATTTAAAATGTTTATATAGCTAGCTAAATATAGCAGGTTTTAAAATATTGTTCAAGAGAAAAACTTATTTCATAGAATAATTCCATTCTTATTTTGCAACAATAAGTTGAGGTCTACATTATTTTTGCTGCAAAAAGACATACTTACCTTTTTTTTTTTAAATATCAAATTGTTGTATATTGTATAAAGTGATACAATGTTTTCTCATTTCTGTTATCCCCTTTCAGTAATTAATTAAATTGTTTAATATGCTTTTTAAATATCCCAAAGAGTTTTGATAATATTATGTAATATTGTAGTTATTCAAGAAATCTAAATCAATTACAATAATAAAACATGCAAAATAGGGGTGGTTCCTGTAGTCTTATAAAACACTCACATAATCTTTGTCTTCTTATAGATATATAAAAATCTTTCTAAATCCTCATAAAGTCTTTGGACAGTGGATTTATAATAACATATAAGAGACTTTTCTATACCCTTGTGAAACATTTACATAACATACAGTACAATGTATAAATATTTTAAACAAAGAAAAAATATTTTGTTATATTATCTGTTATCACAACAAATTATTTAGTTATCAGAAACATTACTGTTGAGTTTGAAGAATAGTGTTATATTATATTTTTTATTTATAAGAAAATATGCTTACAGAATTAAAACGAAAAGTCGGCCATCAGAGTATCTTAGCTTGTATTTAAATTGTATATACATTTTGCCTTTAGAATATATATAGGCAGAAAGAAAAATTATGTTTGATTAGACTTTGAGTAGAATTCCCCAAAAAAAATCCTATTTTTTTAAAGTTTTCATTAACCTAACCTAACTCTATAATCTATATCGTAAAAGCCCACTGTAGTATTAATTGAATAGAATTCGATTCTGGTTGTTTGTATTGTATCAAAACGCATACATTTTCGATTGCTTCTATGCCATTTATAGCAAGGCTAGTCGAAAAATGTTTTTTATTTCTTTCCAGCGTTGATTGTTGCTCATTTTATGGAAGTTTTATCACATTATCGTTTTATTTTGGTTGTGCATTGTTAGGCCTCGGAATGTTTGATTTTATGAAATCTTACATTCTACTGTATATTGCGAAATGAATTATTTCTTACAGTAGGAGGGATACTGTTTAACACAAGATGTCATTTGATATGGTCTTAGTACGTTGCATCACAGAGTAGGGGTACATTAAGGGGGTGGATAGTGAGTGGGTGGCCTCACCCACAATTATTGAGATTTAGGACGCAATGTTGAAATATTATGAAAAGTCTCTCACAATTGTTACATCACTTGCTTCACGCTTTGATAAATACATTTAAACATTTTCACACTTAATGGTTTGTACATATTGAAAAATTTTATGGGTATATTATCAAGGGTTATAATATGCACAGTTAAATTTATCTGCAAGATTTTATGGTTCTTCATTTATCAGTGAACACCAATAATCTATTTATCTCTTTGTTCTTTCTAGAAACACTACTATACCTTCATATAACATTGAGGAAATTGTAGAACATAGTTGATTTCTTGCTACATCTGCATTTATTCCAGTTACAAATGTTGTCTTTTTGTGTTGTGTCTCCTACTTCTGATGTGGTTTCGGTCATCCTTTGCTTTATTAATAACTTAATTTATAATTGGCATATGTAGATTTTAAAACTCAAAAGAACGCGGCATACCTTCCACAAATCTAGGTATAACTTAACAGTTTCAATAATAATGTTTCAGGTCGTCGACATGCAGGCAGTTAATGAAATTATATCCATTTTGGAGAAATTTAATATTACAAAAGAGTTGCTGGAGGTGAGAATAAATTTTTATATTCGTATTTAATTATTAATTAATATTTATTGTATTGTTATAATTAATTTAATTGATACTACTGGAACTTATTGTGGATGAATAAGAACCAACAGTTTTTTTACCTAATTAGCAGTAAAACCTCACTCAAATCAATTCATCCATTAATTAGTTATATTACATCATACCAAGACTATTTTATGTGTTGTTGAGTCTCTGCATTCTGTCATTTCCATCAAAAATCACCGAAAACAAAACTACTGTGTGTTACCTCAACCAAAATGTATTGTAACTAAAAACTGTGCATTTCTACCTTTGTCTGTTTGCAGACAATGAATGATTTTACTATTTGTATTTACTCCCTTTTGTGCTCATGTTGCATTTTTGTTTTGTATATGCTTGAATTTATGTAAAATTATAAACATTTAATAAATAAGAAGTGAAATGTTCTTGTGTTCTGTGGAGTGAGGTTTTATAGCTAATAGAACCATGTCCAACAGTTTTGTCCAACATAATCTGACTAAGAACGTTCTTACTAATGTTCTGTCACACTTATCCTATTGTATGTATTCAACATGTGGCATTATCATTTTAGTACTTATCAATATTAACATATAGAAGTTAGTATATATAAGTACCTTAACCTTAGTACTCAAATAAGTTGGAATAAATAATATTTATGTTTAGATATATTTCTTAAGTTAGAAACAGTTTTTTTTTTAATATAGAGGTGGACAAACAAGCATGAGCTACACTTAAAGGGAGGTTAAATATCCCAGCCATATAACACAAGACACAAGATGAGCTGTCGTCGACCAAGCCAGATTACACATACAAACATATTTGATTATTTGTAGTTTCATCAAACACAGTCTTTATATTAAAAGCAACAGACACTTATTAAACTTTTTAATCTCAAGACCCTCTATACGACATAATGACAATCTAGACGGTTCGGCACCGTAACGCGTTACAAGCCACTTTGAAGTACCCTCCTTTTTAAAGTAGCACTTTAAAAAATATCTTAGCTGTCTCATACCTTCAATCTCTACATGTTATGAGGTTACTACTATAGTCAAATTGTTCTTTAAAAGAATGATCTTTTATATGTTTTAAGAAATTATCTTAAAACATGGTGGAAAGACAAATATGTGGCTGGGGGTACAATGTTGACTGTTATTTACAAAATGTATGTAGTAATTATACTTCTGTGCCAAATAAAAATATTTATGTTATGTGGGTTATTATTTTACTACTTTATATGTTCCTCTTATTTTCAGACCACCCGACTTGGCAAGCACGTGAACGAACTACGGCGGAAGACAGCAGACCCGACCCTCGCGAGGCGCGCCAAGGTGCTGGTGAAAAGGTGGCGGGATCTGGTCATACCCGCCGTTGCATCGCCTGCACACACCGGTAAACTTTGTGCCATATTATTAACACTGATGAATTGATTCAGTTTTGTCTATTACGCACTATACAGGTTGTAAATTAAAAATTTATGTACAATAAAAGGAGTTTTAATTAGATTACATAAACAATCAAAGGTTATTTTTATTTGCTGCATCATGTGACAAAAAAAGCAACATCGCTGCTGTACCATAATCACAAATCCATGGACCAGTTGAGTGCCTCTACTTTAAGCTAGCGTGGGTTATGATAGGAAGAAGTTAATTTTTACATGTACACAGCCTCAACTACACAAAATTGGAAGCAATAAACATTACTAAAATGAATTGAAATTATATTGTTTCAGGTTCAAATCGTTCATCAGCAGAACGACAGACTCGACGACCGGGCGGGACGCCGCTAACTTCACCAGCACTAGTTAGGGTAAGGCATTTCATCTATCAGAAAGTCACCATACACAGTGCCATAGTGTCATACTTCTGTGGTTTTTTTGTGAGACAGACATGTTCACTTAATGAAATACCTTAGCTATCTAATATCTAAACAAGATGCGCAATATGTTATTTTGGCTTTGAATATATGGAAAACCACAGACTGGAACCGAAATGCGAATGTACTTGAAGGCTTTTTCATCTGTGAACGATGGTTGATATTCCTACCATCCATTTAATATATATTTCTAGATTTATTTATTTACTACAACTAAAACGGCCTAAGCCAATTACATTCATGGTAAAAAAAAACCACAATATGTTTCAGAAAAAATTTGTTGTCTGTAAAGTCGGCTTACTGACGATAGTTGAACGTGACAACGTCTTAAGAAAATACTGATGGAATGGTAGCATTTTTCAAAAGAAAATTTTAATTTCATTTGTTTAATAAATTTGTATGTATTTAGAGAAGGAGGTAATTGGAAATAACAATGAAATTGATCAAGTTACATTTATTTGTACGCATAAATACAACTATGTCATTTTTTTTTTACAATTTAATAGTTTTTACAAGTATAAATGTGCGTTGAGAGAGACGGATGTCAAACGCTGCTGTCGAGTGCGTGCTTCTTTGTCGCTCGGTCCGCGCTCTCGCTTGCACTTCAAGCCTTACATGGAACGCGAGCGAGGTAACGCCGCATGAGTCATGTTTTTTCGTGCGTGCAGCCGGCTCTGTCGAATTATAAGACGTTGTCCGGTCTAAAACATTATTTTATAAGAATCATGTTGGATCCTGTGGGATACCAGCCAAACATTGCAGCCATTAGACCAACAAGGACGACGAAATTTTTTCCTAACGTTTATTATATACATTTGATAACACTCTGCTTTTAACTAAAATAAACAGGTTTTATGAATATAACTACAGCATAGCATAATTATGTTTTTAATGTTTCAGTCATATAGGATCGTCGTATAGGAGAATAAAATTTAAGTTATTTGATGAAACATTTACAAATAATTGACCTCGAAGGCCAATTCACATTGTAACATGATAATAAAGATAGTTAATGTTAAATTTGCAGCAAGGTTTGAGCCCGGCTGTGCCCAGCCCGAGACCGGTGTCAAGGCCAGGTAATTCACATCTTTAGTTTACTTCAAAGTCCTACTGTTTAAGGGACACATTTCTTAGGTATCAGTATAATACCAAAGTTGAAAGCATTGCAAAATGAATAAATATATTATCTGTAATCATGAATGGTAATAGTTCAACATTAAATAAAACACTTTAGACGGTTTGAAACGTGAAATATATTAATCGGATCAATTTTTTCAGCAGCCGTGGTCATTAAGGGCATCAATCAATTTATGTATTCGCTTTTGAAACCGTTAAAAAGTGCTCTAGTAAATAATGATGATTACTAAATTAGCTTCGTCAAAAATCTCGATATAAACGTGAAAAAAAGTATCCCTATATATTTTAATCGCATTATTTTGTAACAGCATGGGGTGGTTATGAGTCCGACTCTCAGGATGTAATCCTGGTGGACGACGACCCGCCCGCACCCCCACCTGCGCCCGCGCATACACCTATCCACGCACACAAGCCTATAACTCCGCGTAAGTAATCTACTATTTAGTAATTTGTGTTTTTATCTTACAAATATAATTGAAATGTGAACATCCATTTCTTAGACGGTCTTATTGTTCGTGTTTTGATATCATTATACATTTTGCCATAACCTCTAAACTGTAAAGTACTTATGGATTTGTTTGATGTTTTAGCTGTTAAGCGGGCACTTTCTCCAGAGACCCTAGATGACGATAAAAAGGCTAAAAGGGATAAGAAACCGCGGAAACGAAGGTATGTGACTTTGTACAAAGCGTATCTTAAACTGTCTGTAGTCTGTACTCTGTACTTATACTACAAGAATTTCTATTTGTAGGTATTGAAAAGAATTTGTTCAAAATAAATGACTGACTTGATCATTTAGTTCTCAAAAGATCAATAATTATGTTAAAAGATATAAAGGGCATCAGCGCATCATGCTTATATTTTTTCATATGTCTGGTTTTAATATAATATATCTTATGTAGGGGCCATGGCAGAGCTGGTAGTGGTACGGAAGCGACGGCGTCGACCGCAGTCAGTGGGGCCCCCGGCTCTTTGCCCGGGGCGGTGGGCCCCAACGCGTGGCCCTCTCGTAATGGCTCCGGGCCTGATAGACGGAAGAACGGGTGGCGGAGGGATAAACCGGATCCCTATGCTGCCCTTGTTAACCGGTTGCCACCAGCTGGGGGCAAGAAGGTAATTATGTCCCTTTTTAATCAACACTTTAACGGTTTAAAACGCCATATATATTAGTTAAACTTATTTGAAAATTATTTTACCTGCGGCCCGACGTATCGGATGCTTTGCAGCAGCCGTGATTATGTTATTCAAACGTTATCTATAATGTAATCTATACTAATATTATAAAACGGAAGGGTTTGCTTGTTTGTTTGAACGCGCTAATCTCAGGAAATAGTGGTACGGGTAAAATACAAAATTTATGGAGAACATTTATCGAGCAAGGCTGTAAAACATCAGATGGCGAAGCGAAGAGCGGCGAAGAAACAAAAGGGAAAGAATATTCGTCTTTAAATAATCTAGAAAAAATTTCCATGTGACAATATAAGTCTAGTAAATAATCTTTCAAGATTATTTCACAAGAACCGTTTTTATGGGAATAAAATTTCATCAAAATAATTGATATGAAAAAAAATGTTTACAGTTTTAAATAAACGTTGTATATGCATCTTGTCGTCGTTATTAAAGAAATCACTTAGAAGAAAGCAGAAAATAAATATGCTTTGATAGATTCTGAATGACTAGGTCCAAAATTGTATCTCAAAAGATTACACAATATACATGTTAAAATTTTGTTTTTATCTTTATAGGTAAAGACGACAGCGGAACTTCTAGAACAGATTCAATTGCGGACAGGGGGTAAAGCGAGTGCTCCCCCATCTCCACACTCCCCCCACTCACCTGATGTTATGCTCATAGAGCCAGATGGTATGTGAAATAAGATTTTATTATACCTTTTGTTTACGGGGCATATTATTAAATATTGTGCTATTTCATTCTAGAATGTCCAGTGAAAGTGGATTCACCATTACGGAATGGCGGCAGTGAAGAGCCTCCAGAACGCAAATGGCTCCTCGAGCCCCTCGAAGACGAGAAAGAGTGGGCACCGTGTATCTGTGATCCCGAAGTAGGGCCAGACCCGTCCTGCCCAGCGGACTCGCAGACAACTATCCTGCCAGATCACGTTCATGCCCTCCACCACACCTTCCTACCTGGGGTAAACGGGACTCGAGCACCACTTTACCCTCATAAATTTGCAGTACGTCCATCAGTAAACCCAGAAGACCCAACTCTTTTCGCAAACGTCGTACCTCTGTACAATTATTCAGATTATGCCGACGATTTCTGCGTTAAGAACATGTCGCGTGTGCCGATATGTACTCATATCCCCACTTCACATTTCGCTCCATCCCCTCCCTCGCCCCCACCCAAACCCCCACCCCCGTCCCCAAGACCGTATCCGATCGATGACGTCCCAGAACCCAAGGGCTTCGAAGATTCTCCTTCACCTAGTCTTATTGAGGATGTTGATATGAAAGAAGTCAAAGTAGAAACCAACGAGAGACTGAAACCCTCCCCGACCCCCCACGTCGATGAGAAGCAAATGGAAGACATTAAAGTGATGAAGGAGGAACCGCAACTGCAGTTCTCCATGACGTCACCCGAACACAGGACGGTCGAGCGAACGAAAGAGCAAGATTCAGATCATAAAGATCCAGACATGATAAACCAAAAAGATCTAGACTTGAAGGATTCAAAGAATCTAGTGCAAAAGTTGCGACCTAAAGTCGACTTAGACGGTAGGACTTTGTACGAAAAGTGTGTATCGTGTATAAGATCAGTGCCCTATAGTTACGAACATGCCTCGTCCGCTCCGGTTCTAACGTTTCCCGTTGAAAATGTGTCGGACAGCGTCAGCGAAGCGTTAGAGAGTGCCGAAACTGAGCGTGACGACCTAGGCCGGCCGGTTAGGGCTTCGCATTTCGCCGAATGGCACGAGTGTGCAAAACTCGGGGACCTTATAGCACTTCCGTATGTTGTCATCGACTGACCAAAGCCCAAAGCTTCCGCTGGTGTTCCAAGTGTCCTTACAGTAGGTTTAAGTGCAAGTGTATATAGTGATTGTGACTCGAATAGTGCAACTGGGTTTGTAATGTACGGAGCAATGTTCGGCGTCTCATGTGGAACCTTCCTATCTTACAAACCGAGTTTGGTTATGGATTTTTATAGTCTATGACACGGTTGTTTTGTGTTACGTGAACATGGTAAATATTTTTCGATGTCACAGTATTTTAGGCGCAGGGTTGAATGTTAAGTTTAAAAATGCAAAATACTCTCGGTATATGTCCATATGAGTGTTGAGAGCTTAAACCGTATTCGAGATGCAACAGGCCCCGGTTACAAAACTATTTATTTACCAATAGAAGTACCCAATCCTCCATATGTCAAGAGCTTACTCCATGTTCAGGTAACGTAGTGTTGATTTCCAAAGTGGTGTGTTGTGATATCAGGATTCGGGCCGGCCCGAGACTCGGACAAAATCTCTTAGACTGTTTCATTGAGTTATCTTGTTACCGATTGTGATTTATAAAGAATTAGGTAATTACTAATAGGAGTTCCAATTGTATATTATACATATATATTGCTATATCGAGTCAAAATATCAAATAACATATAGTCGACCATGGTTTAAGGAGGTGGGAGGTTCTGGAGTTGGTGGTTGGTTTTAGTAACCCTCTACTGGTAGGTAGGTAATTAAATTGTATGGAAATTAAGTTTTTTTGTATCTTTTTTTTTCGGAACATGTGTCATTCTTAAAGACGATTTGGTATTCATATTTTGTAAACTAATTTTCACATCTAGATCCTCCCACATATAAAAATGGTTTAATATATTTTAAATATGCTGCAATTTAGGTAATTTCGCCCCGGGCTATCGAGTGTTGTTTTGTGAACTTGGTGTATGAAAATGTTCTTTACGGTACTTCTTTTGAACCTTAGAAAGTTACCATCTATGTAGTACATTGATTGAAGGCGAAATATCGTTTTTAATTCAGTAGTCCTACACAACGGTACATCTAAGGTCCCTACGTACAAAATCAAGTAACGATAATTGTCATACGCGTCGTACCATTTTGTTTGTTTCCGTTGAATGTTGGAGCTCGGGGCCCTGACGACTTTAATGGGTCCTTATCAATCTCGCATGTGCCACAATTCTGTGCCAGATATTTTATAATGGCGGTCATGTTGCCGTTCAATTGAGAATTCTGACTAAATCTTTTCTTAACTAGCCGTAGGTTAAAAGTAACTTTCTGTTTCTCTCTACTTCTTGATGGACCAAAATATTCTAATCCTATTGATATTTCATATATATATTACTTTTCTTGTGACTGAGCAGACTTGGTGATGTTGTGATTTTCTATGGCTTTTGATAATATTGTACATAATTTATTCCGCATTGACTTTTATACCCGGCAACAAATAACCAGGTTTCAATTATTTTTGTAACATCCATTATTCCTACAAGACTATAGTACAAGATTCCTACTAAATATAATGATACTTTGCTTCTTATTTATTCTCTTTTTGTTATTGAATATGTGAATAATGTTGAATTATTTAGTAAGATAGGTAAGTATTTGTTGACATTACACCAAAAGTACTATTTTTTGTATTGAACTGCAACATGACTTACGTGTAGGCGCTTTTGGAGGATTTACTAGCAAACTTCAAATTCTCATTTAAAAAAATAGTTTTTTTTTTTCATCTGACCAAAATTTTTTGTACAATAATATACCTCTAAAAGTGCCTTTTATATTAGGAACTATGCAGATTTTGTATTATATGTATTTATTATAATCTATTGTCTAGAATCACTGTGCAACGTAAGGTGTAAAACGAGAATAGTTTTTTTTCTTACTTTAAAAGTAAATATCGCGTTGTTTCCACCAACATCTCCTAAGCCAATTCAGTTCTACTGCATACAAAAACCTAAAATATTTAAAAAAATAATTAAAGAAATGTTAAACATTTAGAAAAATTATTCTGTTTATTCAGCCATTTTCTATCAGTTTTGTTGCTATGACAAATCTATTTTGGCATTTTTATTTGTAGCGAATTTTGTATTTGACATTTTATATTACTTTATTTCGAAATATTGAATGATATAATAAAAATGATGTTATTTAGATCTTTTTACGTTAAAAAGTAGTCACACATTAAATTTGTTATTTGCAAGTCAAAATTATTTTTAGTTCCAAAAGTAATTAATAGTTTGTTTTTAAATAGCATCGCTATTATATATTTTTTGTTATAAACACAATTGTTTGTTGCTTCGCGAAGCGAATCGTTTCCATTTTTTTGTTCGTTGCATAAGTTGACATGTACCTTATATGTTTTGTAATGATAAAATTGAACGCAATATCAAATTTAGTTGTAAGTCAACATCAATATTTCCATTCTCTTTAAAAAATTGCCAAAAATTGCTCAAAATGTAATATGTAACTTGTTGCGCACGCGACATTATATTAAAGAGATTGTTATTGTTCTTATGTTTGTATTAAAAATGTATTCACTCCACACTTCAAAACTGTAAATGTTAAATACTGTCTTTAGTTTACGCGAGTAGTACACATTTAAATAAAACACTTTAACGGTTTAAAACGCGATATATTAGTTAAACTATCAACCAAATAAATTTAACTAATATATCGCGTTTTAAACCATTAAAGTGTTTTATTTAACTGTAAATGTTACTCACTAGATGGCGCTGTAACAAAATATCCACTATTATCGTAAACAAATATCTCAGTTAATAAGTTGATTCGTTGTATGTATCCGTTATAAGTAGACCCATTAAAGTCGTGTCTAACAAAAGGCCTTACGTATAATGCGCGGGTGAGTCCGGGCGCGGAGCTTGTATAGTGACGACGATGTAACCCGGAGACTGCCTTGATGGACTTGATCCAAAAGTTTTGGTAAAATATAAAAAGCAAAATATATGTGTTTTTATTACGACTATACGTTTCATTTTTCCTTCCAAGACTGCGGGCTCCACGATGTGTTCCCGCCTTTACGCCTTTTTAATATACATTGATTCGTGGGATTTAATAGAAATAAGACCCATATAATTTTAAGATATAGAAAGACAGACAAGCCTAACGCTATAGTTGGGATTTATTTATCCTAAAATAACCTCAGCCATAAAACATCGAAGATATGCAGTCGATCTCCGACGTTACTATCGTCGGAAATTCAACTGGAAGGGAAACGAACCCCCCGCTTTTTTTTTTTTTGTACAGTGGTTCGCGATATGGACAGAATGTCGACATCCCTATTACTATCCATTTACTATCGCCAGGAGATTTCGAAAATTGAATTGATTAGTAACATGTTAGACCGGTTGGGGATCGAATCCACGACCCGTTGTTCATTGTCCATACATTTTATATGAATTAGACGTGACTATTAAAACCTTGTAAACAAAACAAATTATTGTTAATAAAACTTTATTAATAAAAAATAATATCATTTACAAATGTGACGCTTGCATGGCACATTTCTTGTTAGTGTTACCAGATACAAAAAAAAAACGGTAAATGCTTACGTTTGTATATTGTACATTTTACAAATATTTACTTTTCGAGATTCGTTGTTACTAGCTTATGAAGAAGTATTAATAAATATGTTAAGTTTATAAAAGACGCCACGTTCTTACAGCATAAGGGACAACGAAACATTTTTTTTACATAATATGATTGTAGTAAAATATTCAAATAACTGTTTCTTTAGCAAATAATCATTAACAAATACATATCTTTTGTTTGGGACGTTTTAACCGTTTAAAACGCGATATATATTCGTTAAATAATTCTTAATACATTTCTAACAAGTTAACGAATATATCTCGCGTTTTGAACCGTCAAATTAGTTTTTTTTATAATTATTTCTTTACTTAACTTTTTCAGTATTATAAGTATAGTAAACATTTTAAAACTTTAATATTCTTTACACATGGTGGCATTAATAAATCCACATACACATGACATGACGTGGCATACACAATTTTCCGTGGTTGAGCTACATTAGAACCTTAAAACTTATAAGTGTGAAATTAGATTGCGCGAGAGTTACTTGCATAGTGGGTTGAAGAAATTCAATGACGTTTAGGACGGTATCTCAATCGTAGCGTAGCGGTACGGAAACCTGTGGATGCCGGTTCAAATCGCGTGACGTCATATAAAAAATGTCAGTAATACAACAATGTTAAGATTATGTCATCACATTATGACACACGGCATGGCACAGCACAGCGGCAGACAAATGGGCACAGCGGTCTTCTTCTCGCTGCGTTTCTCGCGAGACTTCGCCCCCGATTCGTACTCGTACATGGCGCGGCCGGAGGCGTATTGACCTCCACCAGCTTGCATGGCCTGGAAAGACAACATGGTTCAGATTCACTGGCGATGTGCGGGTAAATTGAGACTGAATGGGACACACGGAAACTGTTTTAGGAACCATTTGGTCTTTTTTATGAGTCAGGTTGCCAATAACCGGATTAGGAACCACTTAGTCTTTTTTACTGAGTCCGTGTGGTGCCGGATTAAGAATAGTACCCCCCCATATCCTCCCGTGGGTGTCGTAAGAGGCGACTAAGGGATATAAAACCGATGAACGGGCAGCAGCGTTCATTCGCGGTTCAACCATCCAACTGCGCTCGCCAACCCGTCTGCCAAGCGTGGCGAGTATTGGCATATACCCCCCCAAAAATGGACAGTATGACCAGCACCAGGCCCCCAGTCCCCGGCAGCCCCGTAAGTCCTGGCTACGGTAGCGGCCATGGTAACTGCGGGGCAGGGGGTGCTAAGAATCACCGGCAGAGATCCGGCTACCTTTTCCGACGACCATTGGCCCTGATAACATACAATGCACGCACTTTGAGGATGGATGAAAAGATTGTCGAGCTGGAAGAAGAACTGAATAGGTTGCGGTGGGACATAATAGGGTTATCGGAGGTCCGACGAGAGGGCGAGGACACGATGACCTTGGAGTCCGGCAACATGTTCTTCTACCGAGAGGGAGGACAGCAGTCCCAAGGCGGTGTCGGGTTCATAGTCCACAGATCCCTTGTCAACAACATAGAGGTGGTCGAAAGTGTGTCGAACAGGGTGGCGTACCTTATACTCAGAATATCTCAAAGATATTTGCTGAAGGTCATACAGGTATACGCCCCGACCTCGACGCACTCAGATGACGAAGTAGAAGTTATGTATGAGGACATAAGTAGAGCCATGCATTCTTCGAAAACACACTTCACTGTTGTGATGGGGGACTTCAACGCAAAGTTAGGGAAGAGAGGCGAAGATGAGTTGAAGGTGGGAACCTTTGGCTATGGGCACAGAAATCCTAGGGGACAGAGGCTGGCCGAATTCTTGGAGAAGGAAGGTCTTTACATGATGAATTCCTTCTACCAAAAGCCGCCGCAAAGGAAGTGGACCTGGATGAGCCCCGATGGAAAGACGAAAAATGAGATTGACTTCATCATGTCCACTAAGAGACATATATTCAACGACGTCTCGGTGATTCACAAGGTGAAAACCGGAAGTGATCATCGCATGGTACGGGCCTCGTTGAATATAGATATCAAAGCCGAGAAGTCTAGGCTGATGAAGTCTACCCTCAGACCGTCTCGTACCCAAGTCAATGATCCCGAGAGCTTTCAACTCGAATTACGCAATCGTTTCTCGTGCCTGGAAAACTGCGCGTCAGTGGACGAGCTTAACGATGGGCTTGTAAAAACTATCCATGCGGTGGGCTCAAAATACTTTAAGTCCCATCGCAAGGAAAGACCGGAAAAACTTTCAGGCGTAACATTGAAACTGATGGCTGAAAGGCGATCAATATCAGTCCAAAACCCCGATGAAGCTGAGTCATATAGGCAGCTCAATAGACAAATATCGAAATCTTTGAGGCGCGATATCCGCTCCTTTAATACTAAACGTATTGAGGAAGCGGTACGGCGTAACAAAGGCGCGAAGGTCTTTGCAAGAGATACGTCTATTGGGCAAAGCCGGCTGACTCGGCTAAAGAAGGAGGATGGTATTGTAGTTAGCTCCACGCCAGAAGTCCTGAAAGAGGTCGAAAAGTTTTACGAGCAACTTTACTCGTCGGTTGCTAAGCCCGTCGTGAGCACGGCGACAGACCCCAGAGCCAAACTTACCCGAACTACACCAAGACATCCCGGATCACCTATACGAGATTAAGATGGCCCTAAAACAGCTTAAGAACAATAAGGCACCGGGTGAGGACGGAATCACCTCGGACACTAGAGCTGGCGGTACACCAGTTCTCATGCTAAGAGGCTTTTTACCTCCACCTTGCTCAAAGGCACAACGCCGGAGGCATGGAGCAAGCGTAGTGGTCCTGTTCTTCAAAAAAGGTGACAAATCCCTCCTGAAGAACTACAGACCGATCTCGGTTCTGAGCCATGTCTACAAGCTGTTCTCTAGGGTCATCACGAATCGTCTCGAACGTAGGCTCGATGAATTCCAGCCACCCGAACAAGCCGGTTTCCGAAAAGGCTACAGCACCATGGACCACATACACACGGTGCGGCAGGTGATACAGAAAACCGAAGAGTATAACCTGCCATTATGCTTAGCGTTTGTGGACTATGAGAAGGCCTTTGATTCGATCGAGACCTGGGCCGTGTTTAAATCTCTACAGAGGTGTCGCATCGATTATCGATACGTCGAGGTGTTGAGGTGCTTGTATAAGAACGCCAATATGTCAGTCCGAGTACAAGATCGGTGTACGAAGGCCATCCCAGTGCAGCGCGGTGTTCGGCAAGGTGATGTTGTCTCACCAAAACTTTTTACCGCTGCTCTGGAAGACGCTTTCAAGCTCCTAGAATGGAAAGGACTGGGCATCAACATTAACGGCGAGTACCTCACCCATTTGCGTTTTGCCGACGATATTGTGATCATGGCACAGTCTTTGGGGGATCTAAACACAATGCTCGAAGAACTCAACAGTGTTTCCAAGCAGGTAGGCCTGAGTATGAACATGGACAAGACAAAAGTAATGTCGAACGCCGTAGTGCCTACCTCTTATCTATTGGAAGCACTGTACTCGAAGTTGTTGATGAATACGTCTACCTGGGTCAAGTAATACAATTAGGTAGATCCAACTTCGAGAAAGAGGTCAATCGTCGAATCCGACTCGGCTGGGCAGCATTCGGGAAACTAGACAAAGTCTTTTCATCCCGTATACCTCAGTGCCTGAAAACTAAAGTATTCCGCTTGTGTTACCAGTGATGACGTACGGTACCGAAACTGGTCTCCTACCGCATGGTGCACAACTACGCGTCGCTCACGTGCGATGGAAAGGGCTATGCTCGGAGTTACCCTGCGCGATCGAATCAGGAATGAGGAGATCCGTAGAAAAAAAAGTCACTACTAGTCCATCGAATTGGCAAGCTGAAGTGGCAGTGGGCTGGGCACATCGCTCAAACGGCGTTGGGGCAAAAGGTTCTGGAGTGGAGACCACGTACCGGACGTCGAAAACCTGGACGACCTCCTACCAGGTGGACCGACGACCTGGTCAAGGTAGCGGGGAAACGCTGGATTCAACTGGCGAACGACCGGTCGTACTGGAAGTCTATGGGGGAGGCCTATGTCCAGCAGTGGACGCTGAACGGCTGAATCGAGATCGAGAGTCTTTTTTATGGTTGAGATTGTTAATAATTGAAACAGTAGGGGGCAATCGAAACTGAAGAAAATTGGAACCAACCCGAGTCATAGACACAGATCGTGACTTCTAAAAAATCTGTTGAAACATGTTTGATTCTGTCTGGAAATCCGGATATTAAATGGTTGGTAAGAATATCGCAATTCCGTCCGGGCAACGAAGCAGCGTCCACAGATGATAAAGCCGTTTGTATCGCGTTTCGTTTCAGTCTGTGGATTTCCGAATATCCAAAGCCATAATAGATCGACGGCGTATCTTATCAAGTTGTTATATGGCTGGGGTATTTTACCTATCACCAAGTGAACCGTGCTTCTCTATCCTCCTCTGTCTTCGAAATTATCATAAAGGCTCACAATGAACTTACACTAGCCTGATATCCTGAGTCTTTGTTGGCGAAGGGCGTGTGTCCTGGGGGGTAGTACACGGCTGGCCCTGCCACATTCTTGCTGCTCCCGATTGGTGGAGACTTAGCAGCTGTCAGTGCTGATGACTGCGTTTCACGTGACACCTCCACTTTGCGCTGTGTCAAACCGTCGGGTTGTGTTGGGAAACGCTGAAATTAATAAATAGTGATAGCAACTAATCAAGTTTCAATTGGGTGAAAGTTTTAAGAGGGAGAAAGGTGATAGTTAGTTTTAGTTTGTAGTTTTTTCTATGAGATTTAGAATATGGGGTCGGCAATGTCTTTTTTCTTACAAGGGTTAGTCTTGTCAATTATTACGTAATATCAACATTATGTAATGTTTATATTCACATAGTCCAGGTGGTGATTAGTCATAACCCCAACAATGCTGGGTTTTGAAAACCAAGACTATCTTTTGTAGGTAGATCTACTTCAAAATGAATGATTGAAACCAAAGTTTAATAGTAGCAAAAATTAAAATTTCTTAGAATTGTTACTTAGAAAAAAAAAATTAAATTCAACCATAATAACTATTTAATAGGCGGAAAATCAATTTATTTATTTATTTATTTATTTATTAATTATAAAAATTTCTAACATTACAAAAATGTCCATTATAGAATTATTTAATACATATTTATGGAGTGATGTTTTTGTCAATTCACCCAAGCTACACTAAAATGTGATCCCCTCCTAGCTTGATAAACGCATAGAAAAAGGGGATTTTCGTAATTGTGCGGGTAGTCCAATGGTCGTAATCGCCTCCACACGTATCGGCCGGAACAGACAAGAACCCATATTCACAATATCCCTCTCCTTTTTTCACCATCCTAATACAAAAAGGTATACTTAGGATAATATGGATATACTCCATACATTCTTTGGTACAAATCAATCGGCTAAGGAGGCAAAAACTAGCTAAAAACCAGATTTTTCCTCTGTTCTTCTTTATAAGATCAAAATACTTCTAAGCTATAAGAAACTTACCGCTTCAGGGAAATCTGCCAACAGATCATCTAGCTTCTTCGGGGGTTGCTGGGTGTTCGAGGGGGTTGAAGGGCGGGGGAAGGGACCTGGAGACGCGGAGGGGGGCGAGAGCGAACGAGGCTGAGACGGCGATGGAGAGGATGGGAACCGCTGAGAAGTGTTCTGGCTGGAGTAGCTCGTCTCCGAGTACTTGTATGTTGTTGGACCCTGGAATTAGATATTGACAATTTTATTTATTTATGTAAAGCTAAGCATTGTCTGTATGTTACGCGAGTAGTGCACATTTAAATAAAACACTTTTAACGGTTTAAAACGCGAAATAATTTAAGTAAATTATTTTTACTACGCCCGATATTTCGGATACTTTGCAACAGCCGTAGTCAAGAGGTATGAAGTTGCTGTCAAAGCATTTTAACATATATGTAGAAATTGTCTGTATATTAATAAGTTCAACTAATATATTTAGCGTTTTAAACCGTTAAAAGTTTTTTATATAATTATCCTGAAAAACTTGTGAACAAAAATAAGGTTTCAATATCTGATGTTTTATCTGACTTTTGCAAATATATAGACATTTAATAAAATTATTGCTCACACACTCATATACACTTTCACACACGCACATATATTTCATAAATTTATTTTTTATTCCTCCAAGTTAAAAGTACAAAGAACCACACTTACATATGGGCCATGTCCATTTTGCGGTTCGGGGTGCAAGAGCTTCGTGTCGTTGGCCGGAGGTGGGTAAATCATACGCTCGTTAGTGTGATCTGAAGCAAAAGATACTCTATAGATCCTTTTTCTAACTTGGCAAAGGACAACAAATATGGCCGATTTCAAACCATAGAGAACTGTGATGTCCTTTTATAGAGTGAAGTCGTTGCCACAGATGACACAGGGATAAAGAAACATCGATCGATATATGGACCCAGCTCATTTGTAATTAACTTGACATTCATGTTTTTCAGAATAGTTCAAGAGTGCACTTCTGTCTTCTATTGACATCGACTTTGCTTACGATTCTCCCATCTCTGTGTAAATATCAAACTAAAGAAATTTTATTGTGTCCATTTGTGGTTTTTACTCAGTGAATTGGAGGTAGTTTCGTTAGTACATATAATCTAGTGTCACAAAGTGTTTTTAGTGTAAATCAATGTATACCTTGTAAGACAAACATGTTTTTTGTGTAAATTGTGTTTGTTTACCAAAAATGCCAAGTAGGGAAAAATAAACTATAACTACCCTCACTAATGATTTGACGCTTAGTCAAATATCCAGGATATATTTGTTACCTGTGGTATGTGTGCGATATTCCCTGATAGTGGAGTTGCAATGGGAGCAGTATTGGCAACCGCCAATTGGGTTTGGAGAGGGGACGACGCGGGGCAGGGTCCCACTTGTGCTAGTTGTAGTACTGGAATGATATATAGAAATGCAAAGTTTAAAGAGTTATTTTCAAACCGGATTTTAGACTTTACTTCTTACTGCCTCACTTCTTTTCTTCAATCGCACAAATTTAAGATCTTATACTCACTTGTGATGTTCTTCAGACACATATTTGTGGTGGTGGTCCGCGACTGATGGTAATGGCACAGTGGTGGGGTCCTGGTCTGCTGGTACTTCGTATGTGTACGTCTTCACGGTCGTTGTCACTTTGTTCATGGGGGTGCTGGATCGGGAGAGCTGAAAAGATTTTTTTACGATTGAAGACAGATAAGCATGAGCTTGGTAGGATACCCCAGCTATACCTAAACTAATATACAGCTGAAGAGTTTGTTTGTTTATTTGTTTGAACGCGCTAATCTCAGGAACGAATTGAGAACATTCTATAAAACATCGCGCTGTGACTAATAGAAGCGAAGATACAGCGGGAAATGTGAACAAAACGGGGGAAATTTTCCATCTGTGTGGGTTTTTCGAAAACGGTCAGATACCTAAAAATGTGTTTGAAAGAATGATTCTTCTTTTATGTCTATCTTTTAAGTTAACTTGTATGAACGACGGTTAAGTTTATAAAGAAGGGGTTGCAAAAACAATTTGATGCCCAAAATAAATACTTTACCAACCTGCAAGTAGTATACGATAAACTATAAATGCCAGTCAATATGGAAAGCGCAAAAGCTTTTCGGAGGACGTCCAAAACTGGTTTCGGTTCAACAGGATACACAATGAAAATAATAAAATCTGTCTGTAGTTTACGCAAGCGTGAATGTGTACTTAAAATCTGGATTAATTTTGTTACAAATGACGAATACTTACAGTTCCTGTGGCGGGCACATGGTGGCAATTCGCGCAGATAGTCGGTGGAACAGCTTGAGGTATCGCTGGTGAAATTTGTGATGGGACCACCCGGGACTCTGAAATTTAAAGAAAATAAATTTACACCATTAACTCCATTGCTTATATTTTGAATATTAGGATGTATAAAGCATAAACTTTTGAATAGAATGCGTGTGACGGTTTAAAACGCGAAATATATGAATTATTTTTAATTAGGTACATAAAAAGTCAGATCCTAGTTAAAATGATTTTTCGTATCTTAAACGTTAAAATGTTTAATTTAAAATTATAATGGTAGCACGTACGACTAATAAATATCGAATATGTTGGAATTCGTTTGAAAAACTAAATGGGTGGTAGGAATGTCGAAATTCCGTCGTGGTCACGAACCACCGTCCATAGATGAAAAATCTGTCAAGCTTAATCGCGTTTCGGTTTCAGTCTGTGGATTTTCGGAATCCAAAATAGGACGACAACGCATCTTGTGTAGATATGTTATATTAGGATATTTCAGCAACCATCAAGTAAACCCCTCTATCTTACAGAAATTCGCGTAAACTACAGACAATAAAAAAATCTCTTTCTTTTTTTTAATTATATGTATCATACCTGTCTTTTCTTCTCTATACATCTCTTGTCGCACCTCTGCAGCGCGTGTGATAGCGGGGGGAGGGGGTGGACTAGTACCCCATGAGGAGTTCTCGACTCTCTCTTCGTGTTTTAGAGTAGAGTAGCCGCTAGACGGCGCTTTAGCTGGAGTTCTAGAAAAGGCACATAGTTTTATATTATACTATATTATATTAAGTATGTTGACCAAAATTTGATTACAATAAAAAGGATTCTCGTGAACTAATCTCTAAAAGATAGACATATACCGTACCGTATAATGATTTCATAAATATTTTTGGGTATCTTGAATCGATTTCGCTGTTTATCCTTTCCTACTGTTTATTGTCATGTTATTAATTAACCTAAAACTTTCTTCCATACATGCTCCAACCAACACTAAAAGTTTTTTTTAATCGAACTGGTTCGAGGCCCTGAGATGAGCGCGTTCTAACAAACAAGATCTGTATATTAGTGTAGATTTCTATTATAATATACTACTAATAAAACGGTACAGTAAGTTATCTTGCCTCGTTAGGCGTTACTCAGCTTTACTGGGCTAAACGTCTCAAATTTGAATCCTAATTAAGAATTAATGATTACGGAAAATAATACGAAATATCAGCTACAATGAAACGAAACTTTTTCATTGATAGATTATATTATTTATATTTACCCTCGCCGGTAGTCGAACGATGTACTTTCGGCTGTGTCTGATGTGTAACCACCTATAAATTGAGACAGAAGATTTTAACATAGTATTAGTTTGTTTTGATTGTTGGTGAAAAAAATATTTTACATAGTACTTCCATACTTTTATACAACTGCCTCTCCTGGTCTTTCTGCAGGTCATCCAGAAGAGAATCCAGCTCCTCAACGTTCTGTGTCATTTCCTTGGTCGCTTTTGACGTTTTAACTTTAGAATAACCTAGAAAATAAGTAGTTAACGTCATTAACACGACAGTTCTACAACATACACATCAAGAACTAGCTGTGTTAGCGACTTCGTCCGCGTAGAATAGGTCCCAATAAATTTAAGTGGTTACCCACGACTTCGTCTGTTTTAGGTCGTTATTGTAAGTTAATGTTAAAAGATAGATATATAGGGTCGCGGACTTTTTTTTAAGATCATTTAAAGAGGAATGATTTTATACACAATTTTTGGTTGTCTTGAACCGTTTTCGCAACAGAGGCAACAGAAACACAAGTATGAATAATTTTCCCGCTTTTTTCACATTTCCTACTGTTTCTTCGCTAATATTGGCCAAGCGCGATCTTTTATAGCCTACAACCTTCTTCACAAAACCAACACAAAATATTTTTTCAATTCGAACCAGTAGTTTCTGAGATTAGCGCGTTCAAACAAAGAAACTCTTCTTCTTACATATTAGTAAAGACTAGTATAGATAGATTTGATGTGAGACAAAAGAATTCTAACATCAGCAACTTCAAGACAATCTTTTAAAGACGTATTAAAGATATATTAGTTAAACTTATTAGAAAATGATTTTTAACTTCGGCCCGACGTTTCGGATGCTTTGCAGCAGCCGTGGTCACGGGGAGACTGCTGCACAGGTGCTGCAAAGCATCCTTAACGTTGGGCCGTAATTAAAAATCATTTTCAAATAAGTTTAACTAATATATCGCGTTTTAAATCTTTAAAGTGTTTTATTTAAATGTACTACTCGCGTAAACTATAGATAGTATTTAATCTTTTAAAGGCTGTATTATTTTGTTTACTGTTTTAAGCTATATAGAAGTAAATAATGTTACCAGGTGTAGAACTAGTAGTCTCATAGTTGTAAGTTCTAGTTCCTGTGACTAGCGGTAGCTCCCTTTCTTCCCTCTCATAGTAATAAGAACTACTCTCTGAGGCTTTAGGCTTGGTCTTCGCTGGTATTGTGTACTCCTGTAATGTCAATATAATTACTATATATAAAATAAAACTACCTGCATGCGTTACTTAGTTTAAAAAATACAGACAAACAGACAAAAATGTTGATTAAACTTTGTTGTTCTATCCGCGATCGAAAAGTATATTATTTTTACAAAAATATAATTCAAATCTTCTTAGCCGTCTCGTGTGATAGATAATAGTTATATATAATATCTATTATTAGCTTTTTTTCCATAATAACTTCCGCTAACTTCGAATTTCTTCTGTGTCCCTTTTTATAGGAGCATTTGATAAGACTTCTGTGCCCTGTTCGACCAAAACAATCTATTGTTCCCTCGGGATTCAAACCCAGGACCTCTCACGCTTAACGCAATGCTAGACAACATGTTTATCAATCATTTTGCGGCAACACAGAGGCGGCTATTAAAAATTCATATATTACTTTTATGATCCAAATACCTATAAGTTCTGTCTGTAGTTTACGCGAGTGGACACATTTAAATAAAACCTTTAAACGGTTTAAAACGCGATAGTATTAATTAAACTTTTTTTTTAACTACGCCCCGACGAGACTAAAGTGGAAGGTTTCCCTAATGTCAAAGTAAAAAGCTGCTAGCGCCATCTGTTTCATTGTAGTTGGTATTTAAATAATCCAAATATGTTGTTTATCTTTTATTTACTTCTGAACTTACTTCAACAGTGTGAAAGTCTTTTCTGTCATACTTCCCGGTGGGTAGTTTCTCCTCCTTGTACTCGTAGTGGTACTCCCTCGTGCCTCCCTCCCCTGCCGAGTGAGTCAAGCTTGCTTCCTTTTGGTAAAAGGTCGGATTTAATCATGTCTGGAAGGTTAAAACAATGGGGTCAACAAAACATGAAACATTACTTTATTATAATTTATTGAAAACCGGGCGAAGTGAATAATTGAGTGATCGATAGGGGATGAAAAATTATGAAATTACTGAAAAATCACTTAAAAAAAAAAATTATGGTTATAGTTTACCGCTTATACCAGTAAAAACCATTGGGCTTGTGAATTGATAGAAACCAATTCTTAGATCTACTAAATATACATATAAAATTTCATCAAAATCGGTCGACCCATTTTGGACGAACATATAGTAATTCTTAGAAATATATATTTCTCTTCCACCACACAAGCAATCTTACCGAGTTGTTCGTCTGTGTAAGGCACAGTGCCTCTGCTGCTAGAATATTCTTTGTATTCCTTGTGTTTGCTGTACGATTTGGTCGCCATCGTTTAGTGTTATCTGTGGACAAGAAAAAAACACCCATAAATGATATACTCATTGTAGTATAAAAGTTAAAATAATTTTTAACTCTTCACTATTTAAGTATTAAGCTACGTATAATTTCAACCTTAAAAAAAGTTCATCTAGTCTGTGATAATTATTACGAGGCTTTTGTATTTTTTTATATATTAAAGTAAGGAACCGATAGCAAGCATTTTTATTTACACAGACGAAATATTAAGTATGAGGTTTCAAGTAAATTCCATATTTATTTGTATAAATTAAGATGTTTGTTTAATTTCTCTTTTTCATTCCGAAATCCACAGACAGACATTAAAAGGCAATTTTTTTTCTTGTAATTGCAATCTCTGGACGTTGGTCATCAGACGGAATCTAACATCTACATTAATATTAGAAAGAGGAAAACTTTGTTTGTTTGGTTTTATTAGGAAAAGACATGTTAGACCCAGGCGTTGCATTTAGTAGTCTAAGTCCTAACTCCCAGTCGTTGGATAGCTGATATAAAATTGTGTTACAATTGTTGTCTTCTGCTATCAAAAGAGTGGCACTATCAAGGATGCAACGTAGGTAGTAGTATTGATATTAACGATGTTTCTCATGAATTCGACCTTACAATGCAAAACGCGGTAAAGAACAGACACTGTTATTCTATTCATTACATGCCACTGTTTAAGGATATATGTAACAGCCAACAGGCCATTTGAATAGCAAATGTACAATAAAAAACGTGTGCATACATACTTAAGTACTGTCTGTAATTTACGCGAATAGTATACGTTTAAATTTAACGGTTTAAAACGCGAAATATATCAGTTAACTTATTTCCAATATATTTTAACTGTTGTCTAACATCCAAATAGTCGGACTATAATTAAAAAATCATAATAATTACGTATATATATCATGTTTTAAACCGTTAATATTGATTTATTCAAACATATCACATACGTTTTTTACATTTAAATATAATGCCTCGTTACTCTAGTGAAAGGTGCACTAGACTGTAGACCACGAGGTTGATGAGTTTTTACAGACACAAGGTCCACGTTACTCCGTCGGTCTAGGATATGAACATTGTATTAGTGGCGGTAGTCCTTACAACCCACCATTGCGCACCAAAGTAGCAAAGTGGGTCTTGTTTACGTGACTGATTCGTTAATAACCTATATATATTAAAAGTTTATATAGATTTCATTCGCATAGAAAAAGTGTTTAGATTCATGCCACGAACCCACGACCATAGCAGACCGTGTTCCTATTAAACCAATTATGACCTAATATAATAACGACTTTTGAACCAAAACAATGAAACCAACCTATACAGAATTATTCGTTTTCCAGGAACAAACGTTTTTATCATTGTAAACGTTTGCTAGAACAACTTTTTGGTATTTCCTTTGTGATGTATATAGACTAAACCGTTTATGGTAAAATTTTACCTTCTAACCATGTACAAGGTTAAATAAAATATTCTGCTATATTCATATAGCAAAACGATACATTCATATTAATTAGAATGTTTGTGAACAGATACAAGTGACGTTTTGTTTGGAATGACTAAATTAAAAAGAAGTTTATCAAAATTGTATTTTTGTAGCAAGCACATTTCAAAACTTTATTTTTTTTTACATGTTTTTGCACATGGAGGCACTTTTTTTTTTAAAAAACAAAAATTTTTTTTTTTTTTTTTCCCCCCCGGGGGGGGGCCCCCCCCCCCCCCCCTCCCTTTTTTTTTTTTTCCCTTTCTTTTCCGGGGCCCCCCCCCCCCCCCCCTTTTTTTTTTTTTTTTTTTTTTTTTTTTTTTTTGGGGGGGGGGGCCGGGGGGGGGCGGCCGCCCCCGCCCCCCCCCAAGTCGAAAATTTTTTCAATTTATTTTCGATTTTTAAAGTACATATTTTACAAGCGGTTCTTGCGAGTTAATCTTAAAAGATGTCATATGGAAATCTTGATATTAAGTGGGTGGTAGGAATATCGAAATTCCCCCCGGGGCCCCAACCATGCCAACAGATGATAAAGCCGTGAAGTTTAATCGCGTTGCGGTTCCAGTCTGTCGATTTACAAATTCAAAATAGGACGACAGCGCATCTTGTTTAAATGCTATAGGCGAAATATTTCACCTACCATCAAGGGAACTCCATGCGTGTCTGTCATTCTCTATTATAAACAATCGAAGAATAACGTTACATGAATTAATGAGAATCCTGCGCATCTACCGATGAAGTAAAATATGATATTTACTTCATCTGCCTTAGTCATGGTTCTAAATCGAAAGTGAGTCAATGAAATTTCATGTGCAGCAAGTACTTCGTGATGTTAACACAAATATAGGATTCAACTGATGATCGGAGTGTATCGGAATGTAAATCGTGACGTCATACTTATACTCATTTTAAGGGGAAGTAAAATAGTAAGTAAGTCTTCTTTTTTTAAATAAAACACTTTAACGGTATAAAACGCGATATATATTAGTTAAACATATTTGAAAATGATTTTAACTACGGCCCGACGTTTCGGATGCTTTGCAGCAGCCTTGGCCACGGGGAGACACGTTTTAAACCGTTAAATTGTTTTATTTAACTTCTTTCATTGTGAGATATGTATTTTAATAAGGGTAATTAATATAATCAAAGTCAACAACACACTATCTTCAAATGTTCGTACTATTCAAAACTGAGTGCAATAAAAACTTCACTTCAATAGACATAGAAAAACGAAACGCATAATGTATTTTTTTATAATTTGAGAAAAAGAGATGGCTGATATGAAATGGTCATATGGTTGCTCACTTGGCGCGGAAAGTTATGGTCGTGGGTTGAGTCCAACCAGTGTCCCCAACAATTTAATTAGAATTCTTGTTGAATATACAATTTAAAAGAATTGTATAATGAATATTCTAATTAATGATTTTCGAATTATTTTATGTACATATGACGTCATAATATAATTGTTAGGATAAATAAGGAACACCATCTATTAACACATTGTAATATTATGTTTATACGTGCATTTACTGACATAAGATTGACAGGGTTGAGTAAGACAGGACGGACAACCATGAGGTTCCCTTGATGGAGGGAACATCTTCATAAGATATGCTGTGGACCTATTTGGTATTTGGATATTCGGAAATCGACAGACTAAAATCGAAACCCGATAAAACTACGGCTTTTCCTTTATCTGTGACCCGGACAGGATCTCGATATTCCTATCGTCCAATTAATATCGAGATTTCCAGATAAAGTCCAACATGTTTCAGCAAAATTATAAATTTATTAGAAAAATGTTGCGCCTGGTGGTGATCGAACCCGTCGTGGATTATTGATATTCGCCGTACATTGTGCACCCCGGCTTGTCTGTCCTTCTCTATCATACATTTTAAAGAAACATAATACTACTGTAGCGGTTTAAAAGGCAACACTGGGATCAAAGATACGCCACGGTTAGTTTAGTGTGTTCCCATTTCATCACTTGAACGGTTAATTAGATAAAATTAGATCAAGAAGACGCTCCGCTATGTAAATTAAACAATGTTAATAATAACAGTGTTGCTTTTCGTTAAATCTATTCTAATATATAAAGCTGAAGAGTTTGTTTAAGGCGCAAATCTCAGGAATTACTGGTTCAGAATTAAAAAAAATGTTTTTGTGACGGATAGTAGATTTAGCGTTGCGATTAATAGGAGTAAAAATGGAAAATGTGGAAAAATATTAAACAAAAAATACCTTTCAAATAATGAGTCCTCTTTAAATTACCAAAAAATGTCTGCGATAGATAATGTTAATTTTTAATTAATTTGCAAGAACGAAGGGACGCGTACGACGTCGTGAGTAACAGCTAGTTAGTAACTCTTCCGGAATCAATATATGGACATGCGGACTTCAACATTATATTATAAAATATAATGTCAATGAGTATAAGAATCCGTATAGGAATTGTGCTTTCTTATAAGGAGTCGTGAGATTTATCGTTAGCTTTCTGAGAATAAGACGGACGAATCATTTCCTATTGGAATATTTTATATTCAAGATATTCCGAGAGTAAAATAACGAGCAATCATGAAAATAAAAATTATAATTTAGGTAGAAAAGACAAATTGGTCTAAACTTTTATTATTTAATATTAATAATATGCATTAGCTAACGTTTCGTTAGATAACGTGAAAAAAAGGCCTGTTCTCAGTCGTCTTTTCCTTTCCTTACTTCCATACGGGCTTTTGCCCGACCGAAGTCTGACTCGCTACGGGATTTGAACCCAAGACGTCTAACCATCGACCTATGAATATGGTGGTGGAGGATATTGAGACAAAGATAAGTTTGTATTGATGTACTGATTATTATTGTATGAGTCCGAAAACTAAAAAATCAATAAATTATTCAATTAGCCAATATTTTTTATAATTAATAATTATTATCAGTGAACAAATGCCTTACCTATAAAGGCTATGTGGCAACACTCGTAGGAGTAGTTGCGTCATTCATTCAACATGCGCCAACGCAACCGTTGACAAATAGGATGATATTTAAAACACCAATATAATTATGACACCAGTTGTTATGAAGTTTACACACACATCCATTAAGAATAAGTCGAGAAAAGGAAAAGTATAGTAAGTAAAATAAATAATAGAAATAAACCGGCCAAGTGTGAGTTGAACAAAATCAGATGAACGAGGCTCGCGGAGAACTTACCAAGTAATTTAGACCCCAAGAAAATATAAATGTCAAAAAGGAGAGCCAAGTTCAATACAAAAATTATGCCTGGCTGTGGATTCCGCTGTAGAAAGAATGGAGATCTAAATGTGTGCTAAGTTCTATGCAAAATAAAAATATGTTACAGGAACAAAACAATATTATGGGCCAGTTGCATGTGTTTATGATAAATAATTTTTAAGTTATCAAATTAGAAGGTTTAAAAGTAGGTTCGTGTAAATACCAGTTAGCTCTTAGCACTTAGCCAGTTCTCGAATTTGACTTGCCACGCTGCCGCGTGTAAAGATT